TGGGGCAACAAGGAGGCCTCCCTTTTGAAAAGAGAAAATGTTATTTTCCCTCAGAAATTCAGGTTCCCTGTTTTGTCCTTTTTCTTGGGAATAGTCACAACACAACTGAGACATCTTCCTACCATGCCTAGGTTTTCAGATTTGCCATTTAATCACATTTCATTAACCAAGAAATGACATTGTGCCTGCAGAGCTGCTGTCTTCCCTGTGTCTCACCAATCCCTCCTGTTGGGCTTGTTCCAATCCCAGTTCAAACTTTATCCAACTGATACAGACAAAGCCCCCCCAAAGAGTCTTGGAACCAGGAGAGCCCTTTATTAATGGCATACACTGCTTAAGCAGGGTTCCCCAGCTTGCTCTGCTCATCATTCAGTATATCAGCCCTAAAGTTATTTTTCAAGTTGGCCTTGCCACAAAAATGCAACTCTATTTGCATATTTTTAGCTTTCTTAATTGCCAAACTATAGCCATGTTCAAAGCATGGAGAGATGCTCAATTCTTTTTCTCTCCCATTTTTCATTACCATATTGTGATTATTCTCAAGAAAAAGCACAAAACAGGCAACCTGGATTTCTGAGGGAAAACAACATATTCTGTTTTCAAAAGGAGCCATGCTTTTGACCCCAGACATTCAGAAAACATTGCTAGAGAAGTATTTTCAGGGCAGAGAAGAGTCTGATCTCTAGAATGAAAGTCTCTGTCTTAGTCAGTGTTCTATTGCTGTGAAGAGACACCATGACCATAACAACTCTTTCTTATAAAGGAAAACATTTAATTGAGGTTGGCTTACAGTTTTAGAGGTTTAGTCCATTATCATCATGGTGGGACATGGTAGCATGCAGGTAGAAATGGGGCTAGAGGAGTATCAGAGTTCTATGTCCAGATCCACAGGCAGCAGAAAGAGCCAGACTCTGGGCTTGGAATGGGCTTTGTGAAATCTCAAAGCCAACACCAGTGAGACACCTCCTCCAATAAGGCCACCCCTCCTAATCCTTTCAAATATTGTCACTGCTTGATAACAAAGTATTTAAATCTATGAGCCTATGTTTGGGTGGGAGAGGGACATTGTCATTCAAACTACTACAGGCTCCATGGAAGTTTAAAAGTTCTGTACTTTTAAAGACCTGAGTTCCTGTCTAGACTTTACCAATTATTTTGACAATTTTTTCAACCAAGAAAAGCAAATAATGCCTGCTTCATGAGGTTACTGTGAAAAATAAATGAAATAATGAGAATGAAGGAACTCTGTCCACTGCATATGTCAGATGTTGACATTATGAATATCTCATTAATGCTCCCCATCTTCACTGTAAGAAATCCTACAACTGTTCAGGGTGCAGGGTGAGCATTTTAAAGCTAATCATTCAAATTGATTCAGGTGGCTTATATTTGTTTTATCATGTTAGCATAAATCATTTTATTGTAATACTGTCCATCAAAATTCGTTTTATACAGAGTTCAATCTAAGCAAACCTGCCAATATTAGGATTGCTTTGTTTACAGATTCATTGAACCACTTTCTCTTAAAGTACAAGCCAACATTTGTGCATATTTATATCATAAATCATACATAAAAATATGCCCAAAGCAGTCACCTCTTCCATGAATCACTCTCTGATTTCCAAGACTCGTTAGTCCCTTTTCTTCTGTTTTCTATCCTGCATTGCCAAAACTGTTACAACATTTATAATATGATATTATTATAGCACTTTTGATCTTCATCCACAAGAAATTCTGAGCAACTCCAGCACAGAGGTTTATTCATTCACAGTACTTAGTATAAAATTAATGTGTATTTACTGACACAGAAAAGGGAATACAAGAAAGCCCACTTAGAGAACTACATTACTCTAACATATTTTATGTAACTTAAAAAAATAAAAAAGTGTATTTTCAAAAATATCAAGATAATCCTCCTGTAGCATAAAATGTTGGCTATTCTAAGTGTGATATAAACTACACTAATTATTTTTAATCAGCTTAAAATAGAGATATGTGAACAGAACAATTGTTTATTTGAACCCCTCAGCCCATGAATGAAAGGGTCTATGTCTTTTGGAGAAGAGAACACTATGAACTTTATTTAGGGAACCATTACATGGAGAACAAACGTATGTCATGAGGGAAGATCAGAGTGAAAGGAAAATCAGAAAGCTGTTTCTACAAAGATTTCAATTGCATATTGTCAAATTATTACATTATCCATCACAACATATGCATATCTTTCTGACATTTGAAATAAATTTAACCTCTGAAACCCTTGCACTAAATGTAAAAAAATTATGTGTTGAGGGATGTTTTTGAAAGGACTCACTGGAAAGCATGATCCTCCTAAGTGAGCTGACAAGTTAGAATTTCAAAGACTACTCATCTACTCTTTATTTGCATATGTCTCCAATGCTGAAATGCACCCCTCAGAGTATCACAGAAATGCATATTCTAATGTACTACATGCAGGAGAATTTTGAGTGCCTAAATTTCTAATAATTTCCCAGATGCAGCCACAACATCTGATCAAAAGACCACACATGGAATAACAAGGTCCTAGTAGACAGTGTGAATGTGAAAATTCACCATCAGTGGCATCTGTAAGGTAATCGCTGCTTTATTTCCCTGATGGCAGCAGTTACAGACCTTGTCTCTATTAATGCCTTTTACTTAAGAAAATAATTGCTTTAATAAACAGCCTTCAAATACTGGACCTTTCAGTTAACCTTGATTTAATCACAATGTAAAATACAGCTGGTATAATGGGGGGAAATGGTAATATCCTTGACAGACTACACAAATCATGTTTATGCTACATTTTTCCATTTAAGACCTTTTAATATAAATCACTTCCCACATAGCTTCTGAGAGATGGTACTTAAGGTGTGTTTATGAGTGAGGTAAGCATAGCATCCAGTAGCCCCATCCCATAGCAAAGGTGAAATGACCATTACAAAGGAGGGCATCAGGGAGTCATCACATGTCCTAGTAATTACAGACCTTGGGATCAAGTAAATGGACAGAAAAGCCATTCAAGACATCTTTTACCAGTAGTGAGAAACTAAAGATCTTAGGACATAAAAGAGGCTGTTTTCCCAATGTTCCTCATAACACATTTTAGCTGTTCCCAAGAGTTATATAACTACATCCTTATCATGTCTTCCTTCATAACTTACTTTAGCTAAAGACTCTAGAGGGTAGCATTTAAATTAAGGAACAATATCACTACAATTTTTAGACAACATAAATTCTTTTGCAGCAGTATTCAAAGTCTGTAGGCCCTGCCTGTCACTCAATTTGAAGGTTTTTCCCAGTGATTTTCCCACTCATACTAATCCTCTTTGTTCTACGTTCCTTCCTGCCTCAGTCAATTGACAAAGTAAAGTTGTGAATACACATACTTCCATGAGAGAGACTCTATTTCAAGCATACTTAAAATAAATTACTTGATTGTGTGATAAATTCCATGTAAGGAAATACATCTTTATTTTCTACATAGTCATCTCCAAACTCCAACTAACATACTTTTCAAGTTTCTGTCTCCTTTTTCTAAAGTTGAATGTCTGTGTTTTCACTTTATGCACAATTCTAAGTATTTCTATTTTAATTATTCCAAAAGAAACTGTAGATATAATTGTGAATGGTTTTATTAAATAAGAAACACAGAGCCAAATGCAGAGTTAAAAGCCCCAGAGGCCAGAGAGCAGTAGCTAAGAGCTGAGACCAAGACTGCCTTGGTCCAATGTTGTGGACCTGCTGCCACTGTTGTCCTTCCCCTCAGAAAGAGACCTACTTCCTGTGTGTTTGTCTTTTTATTGACTTTCTGTTCTGCTTTCTCATTGATTGTAAACCCAACCACATGTCCTCTTCGTCACTGCCTGTCTGTACAGACCTCCAGGTCTCTATGGTTGGTATTGAGATTAAAGGTGAGTGTCTCCATGCTGGTGGTGTCCTTGAACACACAGCGATCTGCCTGTCATGTGATTGGGATTAAGGGTGAGTGCTACCACTGCCAGACTTCTGCTAAATGGCTTGTTATTAGCTCTGACCCCCAGTCAGTTTTATTTATTAACATACAAATAAAATCACATTTCAGCACAGATAAAATATCACCATAAGGAACCAACCTCCTTGAGATATGAGGCTCTTTGTGGCAAGCAAGAGCAGGAGGTAGTTACCAGTTTCAAGGCTGGGAATGCAAGGAGAAAGATCTACTACCTAGGAGCCAGGGGGAAAATGTGGCTGTAGGAAAAGGACTCTCCATGCACATACAGGAAAATAGTCATGTTGTGGTTTAAAAGAAAATGGCCCCCCAAGGGAGTGGTACTATTAGGAGGTGTGGCCTTGTTGGAGTTGGTGTGATCTTGGTGGAGGAAGTGTGTCACTGTGGAGGTGGGCTTTGAGGTCTCATATATACTAAAGCCACACCCAGTGAGTCATTTCATTTCCTACTGCTTTTGGATTGAGATGTTAAGACTCTTGGCTCCAGCACTATATATACCTTCATGCTCCCTTGCTTCCTGCCATGACAATAATGGAATAAACCTTTGAACTGTAAGCAAGCCACCCTAATTGAATGTTTTCCTTTATAAGAATTGCCATGGTTGGCCGGGCGTTGGTGGCGCACGCCTTTAATCCCAGCACTCGGGAGGCAGAGCCAGGCGGATCTCTGTGAGTTCGAGGCCAGCCTGGGCTACCAAGTGAGCTCCAGGAAAGGCGCAAAGCTACACAGAGAAACCCTGTCTCGAAAAACCAAAAAAAAAAAAAAAAAAAAAAAAAAGAATTGCCATGGTCATGGTATCTCTTCACAGCAATAGAAATCCTAACTAAGACAGTTCTTTTTTAATGGAAAATCTTGATTCTGATTGATGATATCCATAGATGTCATATTCCCAAAACTTGAAGAAAAGTAGAGAAACCTGAAGATGTAAATGTAGGGACAGAAAAGAGCAACTAACATAGTGGCATCTACAAATAGCATACAGGAAAGGATAAGTAAGGAAACATTCACTTACTGAGTGTTGAGACCTCCCATCCTCCACTTTGTAGTCAGCTCTAGAATGTCAGCAACCAGGTTTTGAGTCTTCAGAGAAGACACTGTATGGTTCATTTCTGAGAAATGAAAAACATTTGAAGAATTCTATATAATTGGGTCTCGGGTATACCTCTGATATAGTGCTAACCCTGCATGGGGTCTGAGCTTTATCCTCAATACAAAAAAAAAAAAAAAAGGAAAATCCTCAGATACAAATAACAGAAGTAAAAAAAAATGAGAGAGAAAAAAGAGCAGACTGTGCCAAAAGTTGAAGTAGTAGTACAATTTCAGATAGATATGAAACACTGAAACACAATAAAAAAGAAGAAATTATCAAAAATATTTCAGGAAAATTTTCCAGGTATATTTCCAGGTTGAACT